GACCTGGTTGCAGTTCCAAGGCAGAGAAGAGCACTAGTCAGGTGGCTATAGAAGAAGAGAGGACCTGATCATAGTTCCAGAGTCAAGAGTAGCACTAGTACTTGTGGTTGCAGAGTAGCAAGGGCCCTTCCTGAGTGAAAACCAGAGTGCAGACCAGGAGAGCAGTGACCACACCACTCCCTGCATCATACCACACTGGAAGCAACAAAAACTTGCAGACCCCCCCCCCAGAACTAGCTCTGAAAACAGCAGGACAACAAAGCCTGAGGCTTGGGACAGTGCCTCTCCACTGCCAGATAAGCAAAGACCAACTTTAACATAAAGTTCAAAGTCAAGAAATAGACTGGAAAAAAAATGATGAAACAATTAAAAAAAAAAAACCTTGACTATAAAAAGCTACTACTGGCAGGGAAGACCAAGACACAAACTAAGAAGAAGACAACGATGTGAAAATACAACCAAAACCTCAAAGAAAAATGCTAATTGGACCCAATCTCAACATGAATTGCTGGAAGAATTAAAGAAGGAGGTAAGAGTGGTAGCGGAAAAAATGGAAAAAAGAAATGAGAGAGATGCCCGAAAACTATGAAAAGAGAATTACAGCTTGGTAAAACAAGTGCAAAAATAAAAAATACTGAAGGAAAATAATATCTTAAAAAACAGAATTGGCCTAAGAGTAAAAGGGATACAAAAATTCACCGAAGAAAAGAACTCCTTAAAAAAGCAGAAATGGTCAAATAGAAAAGAAGTTACAAAAACTCACTGAAGAAAATAATTTCTTAAAAATTAGAATTGGGGGGCAGCTAGGTGGTGCAGTGAATAGAGCACTGGCCCTGGATTCAGGAGAACCTGAGTTCAAATCCAGCCTCAGACACATAACACTTACTAGCTGTGTGACCCTGGGCAAGCAACTTAACCCCACTGCCTAGCAAATAAAATAAATGAATAAAAAATTAGAATTGGACAAATGGAAGCTAATGACTACAGGAGACATCAAGAAACAAATAAAATCAAAAGAATGAAAAAATACAAGAAAATATTAAGTATCTCATTGGGAAAACAACTGACCATGAAACTAGATCAAGAAGAGAAAATTTAAGAATTACTGAACTACGCAAAAATCATGATCAAAAAAAGAGTCTAGACATCATATTTGAAGAAATTATCAAGGAAAACTGCCCTGATATCCTAGAACTCAAGGGTAAAAAAGAAATTGAAAGAATCCAATGATCACCTCCTAAAAGAGATTTCAAAGTAAAAACTTCCAGGAATATTATAGCCAAATTCCAGAGTTCTCAGGTCAAGGAGAAAATACTGCAAGAAGACAGAAAGAAACCATTCAAATATCATGAAGCCACAGTCAGGATCACACAAGATTTGGCAGTTTACTCATTAAAGGAATGGAGGTCTTAGAATATGATATTCTGGAAGGAAAAGGAGCTAGGGTTGCAACCAAGAATCACCTTCCCAGCAAAACTGAGTATAATGTTGTAGGAGAGAAAATAGATCTTTATGAAATAGAGGACTTTCAAACATTCCTGATGAAAGACCAGAGCTAAACAGAAAATGTGACATTGAAACACAAGATTCAAGAGAAGCATAAAAAGGTAAATATGAAAGAAAATATGAGACTCAATAATTTTAAACTGTTTATATTCATAAATGGGATGATACATGTAATTCCTAGGAACTTTATGATTATTAGGACAGTCTACATAGGTAGACAGAGGGCACAAGCGTAACTCAATTAATTATGTTGGGATGATCTCAAAAAAAATGAAGAGGTGAGAAAGGGATGCACTGGGACTGGGAAAGGAGAGGTAGAATGGGGAAACATCTTACACAAAAGAGGCACACAAGGAGAAGCTTTTACAGAAGAAAAGAAAATGGATGAGGTATTGGGCAATGCTTGAACCTCACTCTCCTCAGAACTGGTTCAAAGAGGGAAAAATATATATCTATACACACATATACATATGTGTTTATATACGTACATGTGTATGTATATACAAACAGAGACATACATACACTTAGTTGGGTATAGAAATCTACCTTACCCAATAGGGAGACAGGAGAGGAAGAGGATAAGAGAAAGCAGGGGGATGATAAAAGGGAGGGAGGGCAGATTAAGGGAGTTAGTGGGCATGAGTAAAACAGACTTTTGAAGAGAGACAAAATAAAAAGAGAGAGAAGCATAAGAAAACAAGATGGATGGCAATACACAATAATCATAACTGTGAATATGAATGCGATGAGTCACCCATAAAACAGAAGTGGCTAGCAGAATAGATTAGAAACCAGAATCCAACAATATATTGTTTACAAGAGACACACTTGGAACAGAAAGATACACACAGAGTTAAAATAAGGGGCTGTGGCAGAATCTTATTATGCTTTCAGCTGAAGTAAAAAAAGGCGGGGTAGCAATCATGATCTCAGACAAAGCAAAAGCAAAAATTGACCTAAGTAAAAGAGATAACAAGGGAAACTACATTGTGCTAAAAGTTACCATAGACAATGAAATAATATCAAAAAAATTTACAGCAAGTTTCTCTGATAAAGGCCTCTTTTCTCAAATTTTTTGGGAACTAAGGCAAATTCACAAAAATCCAAGCCATTAGCAATTGATAAATTGTCAAGGGATATGAACAAGTAGTTTTCAGAAGAAAAAATCACAGCTATCTATATTCAGATGAAAAAATTCTCTAAATCACTATCAATTAGAGAAAGGCAACTTAAAACAGCTCTTAGGGACTACTTCACAATTATCAGAAATGACAAATGCTGGAAGGGATGAAGGAAAATAAGCACATTAAAAGTTGTGAAACAAAATATGCTTAATATGAATGTATATGTAGAGCCTATATCAGATTTCATGCCATCTTGGGAAGAGGAGAGGGGAGGGACGGGAAGAAAATTTAAAACTCAAAATGTTATGGAAGTGAATGCTGAAAACTAAAAACAAATTAATTATTTTTTTTTAAAATTGTGAAATGGTCCAAACATTCTGGAGATCAACTTGGAACTATGCCCAAAGGGCTATAAAAGTACATACTCTTTCACCCAGCGACACCACTACTAAGACTTTATCCCAAAGAGATCAAAGGAAAAGGGAAAGAACCTACATGTACAAAAATGTTTATAGCAGCTCTTTTTGTGGTGGCAAAGAAATTGAGGAAATTGAGGGGACGCCCATCCTTTGGGGAATGGCTGACCAACTTGTGGCCCATGATTGTGACAGAGTACTATGGTACTGATGGAATACAATAGTGCTATAAAAAATGACAATCAGGGTGGTTTCAGAAAAAAAAAACATCGGAAGATCTACATGAACTGAGGCAAAGTGAAGTGAGCAGAACCAGATCAGTGTACACAGTAACAGCAATATTGAAATAAGGATCAATTGTGAAAGATTTGGCTACTCTGATCAATACAATGATCCAAGATCCAAGTTTTCATAATGAAAAATGTTACTCACCTCCAGAGAAATGGAGTCTGATAGAGTCTGAATGCAAAGTGAAGTGTAGTTTTTTCACACTTCTTTATTTTTCTTCTGTTTTTTTGTGATATGGCTAACACAGAAATATGTCTTATATGATTTCACGTGTATAATTGACGTACTGCTCACCTTCTCAGCAGATGGAGGAAAGGTAGGAGGGAGGGAGAGAATTTGGAACTCAAAAATTTTTTAACTGTTAAAAATGAATAATACATTTTTAAAAATTTATTTTTAAAAAAGAACAGAACATTTATGGCACTCTGAATTGGTACTTAAGTGTTATTTTGTAGCAAACACTATCATTAAGTGCTATGACTTCCGATGCAAACAGGATGACATTATCTTGCAGAGTACTGTCTGGATTTCCTCAAATTTTGTGATTTATTATAGAAACAATCTAGCTTGATTTTGCACTTGCAGAAGTGCATATGATTTAGAATACTGAATTAGGGGCTTGCTGTGTTCACTTTTAAATTTGAAAAGGAACCAGAAAAACAATTATATCATTACCTGAATTTAAGAGCATCATAAAATTTCAACTAACATCTGTTTGCATCTTTTAAGCATTTCACATGATGCTTAATTAACTTACACAATAATTGCCATGTGACTGAGTCATGCTTCAGTCATTGCTACGGCATGATATATCAAATTATTTAATGGTAAAATAATCACATCTTTTTATTGTAGTAATTGACTACGAACAAAGTTATTTTTTACATGCATGGATTCATAGATCATTTGATTCAATTTCCAGACTGCTTTGAAATAGAAATCCTAGCTACTTAGCTCTCTTTATAATCCTACAGCATCACTGACAAAAAAGGCACTTAACCACCACTAATCAGGGAGGGAAGTTGCTCGGAAGCTTTTACCTTGGAATAATTACCTCTGGTAGCAGGGGGCCAACTGGAACACCGAAAAGCTCTTCCAGAAAACTTCATACTTTGTTGGCTGCTTCCCAAAGCAGGTAATTGCTGTTGCTGACCAGCATTTTTTGATTCCCACCATTATTCTCATAATACTGAGGTTACATTCTAAAAGGCAGCTAGATCTTACTTTTAACTATGCTTAGTATAAGTTGGAACTCCTGGAAAGGTTTCTTATTTTTAAAAAAAATATATTCTTTGTACATAAAACACAGAAATATGTTTACCAAACTATTTTAAAATGAGTATTTTTTCTATTTAAAATATTGTTTACTTCAAGATTTTGTTAGCACATTTGTAAAAGTAGCTCAGATCCATTAAGGTTTGTGATTTTTTTTTTTGTAATAGGAGATTGTTTTTACAGCTGAAGGGACATTTCAGTAAAAGAAAATACAGAAAACTTTAATGCTTGATACGTAACATATGTATAATTTCTGTAAGTTGTACTCGTTTTGAAAAAGGTGTGATGTTCTAATGATAAAAAAATTATCTCCAGCATACAAAGGTACAAAAATGAATGGGAGAAAGTGCCCATTATTAAGTTAAGCTGTTCATTAGAATAAAGACCTTACCTTCACATCCAACGTGTGTTGTAGTTTCAAGCGTACTGATTCTTGCTCCTGACGCTGGATTATGTCTTGACATTCTGCAAACTGCAACGATGCCTATAATTAAATGACCCCCCAGGTTATTTAAATAACTTAGGTTATTTAACTAGACTTAACCTGAATAGTGAGCCAATTAATTTTCCAAAGTCTCTCTATCATCTGAACAAATGCTGAGAGGTCTTGATTAAGACATGGGAGTTAGAGTTAGCCTAATACATATGGGCAGCTAGATGGCACAGCCGATAGAGCACGGGGCCTGGAGTCAGGAAGACCTGAGTTCAAATCCGACCTTGGACATTTACCAGCTGTGTGACCCTGGATAAGTCACTTCCCCCTGTTTGCCTCCATTTCCTCATCTGTAAAATGAGCTGGAGAAGGAAATGGCAAACCACTCCAGTATCTTTGCCAAGAAAACCCCAGATGGGGTCATAGAGAGAACAACAGAAAGATACAAGGTGAAAGATGAGCAATAACCGGGGAAGTCGCTCTCCTTAGAGGGCATAATGATGCATAGTGAGAACTGCATGGATTTGGATTGGCCAGAATGGGGAACACCAAGGTATCTTGGGTACCCACAGACACAAGGAACCAATGCTAGTTTTCCACTTTAATGGCCTAGCCACACTAAATGGCATTAGTAAAACAACATGTCTCTTGGCTAATTTAACCTTCAAAGGCACCTAACTCTTACGACATGACTTCCTTTATTATGCTAGTTTTACTTCACGAATCTCTTTTATCCGGTGCTAAGTATTCTTTGATAACAAATGTTTATGCAAATTAATAGGAAAATTAAATAGGTTAATTTAAGCAAATTAATTCAAGTTACTCAGGTTCCATTTAGCCATATTCCTATTCTAGTACATCCTTATTATTAATATAATGAGTAGCAGGTGATCTTAGTAGCCTGAACTAATTTTGGAAAGGCTGATACTTTGGTTACTTCATAGATTTTTTTTAAAGTTATTAGGTCTAGAGAGGCAAAATGCATTTTTCTCCTTTGGAAAAAAAATGTAAAAACAAGAAAAATTACATTTTGTCTGTGTGGTTAAGAACCTGCCTATTTAGCCATCTTTGGCACTATTATAATTACCAACTGATATCTTGTGACCTTTTAGCTGTCTGGAATGTCAGGCAGAAAAATTCATCCTTCCTCGACTTAGTTCCAGTTAGGAATAATGATCATGGAAATACTGGGCTGCAAAAGTGATTAACTAGATGGAAGGGGGAATTTCTTGTTATTAAGTTAATAGTAATAAACTGCCTAGGACTACAGCTGGCTTGTCCTTTGAAAGGGGGAGAGAGAGCACAGAGGTGGCCCAGGGGAACCCTTTCTAACCCTCGGATTTGGTGGGCATCAAGTGTGGAATGCAGAAGGCAGAGTGCTACCCTCAACCTTCTGGGAATGCACAGGAGCAGTCTCTGGAAAGAACAAAGCTAATGACCTAGCTGGACTGAAGACCAGTATCCAAGATGCACAGGCCTTCTGACATTTCCTCTGGACCTTCCTGGGGTATGGAGCAGCACTTGGTTTACATGGCCTTGTACAAGGTAAGCCCAATTGGCCCTAGGAGGGTTAACAGAATTTCACTGGGGCATGCATGAGAGCATGGTGCCATGGAAAGGGCACTTGGGCTACTTTCCAAGACTTGGAGACAGGAGGGAACAGGGTTCAAATACCAACTCAGACACTTAGAAGTTATGTGAAAATGGATGTCACTTAGTTTCTATGAGACTCAACGTCTTGATCTGTAAAATGAGGATAGTACCTGTCTTATAGAACTGTTATAAAGAACAAATGAGATAAATGAAAGTAAGTTGCCTTGCAAACCTTAACCAACTGTATAAATGTGACCTATAGTTATTTAGGACTATTGTGAAGAATAATATTCTCCATTTGTAAAGGCTGCTCAAATGTCTGTTAAAACACTTGGGTTCAGCCTGGTAAGCATCCCCCTATCCAATTCCTAGGAGAACCCATCCTGCTAAATGACAGGGCCGAAAGTCACCTGCATCCTTAAAGACACTTCTCAGGACAGTGGCATCCCTAACAAATCTGGCAAAAAATGTGATTATGGATGGTAGGGTTTGTGGTTTTTTCAAGGACTTGTTTTTAAATTGTCTAAATGGATGCATTCAGATGAAAGAGGCCTAAAGTTTGTCTGAAAATGTTCTCGGGGTTTTAGCAGGACGCAAGCTCAACACGAACCAGCAGTGTACGGTGATGGGACCCAGGGTTGCACTGAGATGGGGCAGAGCCTCCTGTCATAAGGAGTCACAGGGTCCTCTGTAACCACCCTGGTGCAGATGACAGTGAGGTCTCGTGGTCTGTTACCGTGGTGACATTTTAGGAAAGACACTGATAATCCAGATAATGTCAAGAGGAGGCAAGCAGGATGGAGGTGGGACAGGCTTGAGCATATTCCACCAGAGGGTCTGCTGAAGGAGCACAGAAGGTAGAGGATGCTGCCTTCCAGCATCCGGTGGGAGAGGGATTATCTTTGTTCTGCTTAGCCCCAAAGCCCAGAGCTGGGACCAAAAGGCAGAAGGTGAAAAGAAACAAAGTGAGGCTTCAGGGCAGGTGAAGCTTCCTAAAAATGAGCTGTCCAAAAATAAGGGGGGGGGTAGGACTATAATTCCCTTCTCACACTGAAAGGTTTCCACCACAGATTTGACAATCATTTGTCATCTGTGTTATAAAGGGGACTTTCGTTTAGGGATAGGTCAGCGTGGATAGCCACCGAGGTCCCTCCCAACTCCAAAATTCTGTGTTTCTGTAAATTACACAGAGAAATATTTTGAACACAAAATGAACTGATGGGCACTTCTAGTCAAGACGGCTTCCTGAAAGGTGGCAAACGAACCTGTTCCCCCACATCCACTCTAGCAAAAACTGAAAAATTATACCAGGATAAATAATGATCAAGACATTCAATGAGAAACTCTGACATGAGCCACCATGAGAACAGGTAAACAAACCAGCAGCCTCCCAGCTTGACCAGAGAAGAGCCAAACACACAGGTGACTCACTGGGCTCTGTGTCAAGAGGCCCTCCCCTACTCACAAAGAAAACCTCTAGGGGTCAGAATCGCCCTGTGGAGAACCTGGAAGCCACCGGGAGCAGCACTAGCCACTGCAGGCAGGCAGGACCTGCCCAGGGATCTGAGGTCCCCCACACTGTGTCCTGAGACATCACAGAGAGCCAGGGCACTGAAACTCAAAGAACCAGGAGCCCTAACCAAAGGAGGTGAAGATCAGCACAGGAATCCAAGTGACCAAGAAGGGCCAACAACTCCACCCGTAAGTGGAAAAGAGGGCAAAGCCCAGCCTTGGCACAATACTCTGAAGAAATAGGAGAACAAAATGGAGAGCAAAAAAAAATACAAGAAAATATAAAATAGAAGATATTAAAAACAAACTGACCTGGAAAACAGGCTAAGGAGGGATAATTTAAGAATCACTAAAGACTATGAAAACCATGATTTTTAAAAAACCTCCACATTATATTTAAATAAATCTTGAATGAAAACCACCCAGATTTGTTAGAACCAAAGGACAAAGTGAGGATTAAAAAAAAATCCATCCACCACTTTCCGAAAGAAACTGCGAAGAAAAGCTCCAGGAATGCCATAACCCAAATCCAGAGCACCTACATGAAATACAAAATATTCAAACACCCAGAAAGAATCAGTTCAAGTACCTAGGAGCAGATCAGGATCACACAAGACCTGGCAGCTTCTACTTTGAATCAGAGGAGAACTTGGAGTGCAATAGTCTAAAAGGCAAAAATATAAGCTTAAACTAAGAATAACTTGCTCTGCAAAAACTGAAATGAACCTTTAATGAAATAGAGGAATTTCAAGTATTTCTGATGAAAAACTCAGCCAAGCAGAAATTTTGACATGTAAATACGAGAGTCCAGAGATACCTAGGAAGACAAATACATGTGAACAATGGGAAGGACTATGATGATGAAAGGCTACCATTCTAATAGGGTGAAAAAACAAGTGTCCTTTTAGAACCTTCAGGTATTCATAGGTTGGTGAAGGAGTTAAATTAGAAAAAAACACAAAACCTAAGAATGGATTGTTTTAATTCTGAGGGTTTCAAGAGGATAAAAGCAAGAGAAAGTAAAAGAATACAATAATATATAAAAGAGGAAGAAAAAGGCAGAACTTGACATTTTGCATGATTGGGGTGAATGAGAAGACTTTACAAACATAGAGGAAGAGATAGGGGAAACAGGCATCATATAAATCTTACTGAAATGGATAAAGGAGGATTGAGCACACACACAGAGAATGAGAGAGAGAGAGAGAGAGAGAGAGAGAGAGAGAGAGAGAGAGAGAGAGAGAGAGAGAGAGAATGTCTGGTGTAGAAATACATCAAACTCCACAGGCAAACTGAGGAGGATAGGGAATGGAGTTTAAAGAGAAAACCATATCAGGAAGGAAATATTAAACAAACAGAACAAACTTCCTGATCCTGAAGGGGAAAAAAAGAGTGAGAAACTATAGAGGTATCCATCAATTGGATAATAGCTGAACAAACTGTGGTATATAAATGTAATGGAATATTTATTGCACCATAAGAAATGATAAAAAGAATAACTTCAGAAAACCTTGGGAAGTAAATAGAACCAGAACAATTTACAGTATAATAACAACAATGAAACACTTAACAACTTTGATCAATGCAATGAACAACCGTGAATCCACAACCGAGAATCCAGAAGACATATAATGAAACATGTTATACACTTTCTGATAGAGAAGTGACAGACACAAGATGCAGAGACAGATGTTTTTGGACACAGTCACAATATGAATTCATTTTGCTTAACTATACTTATTTGTTACAATTTAAAAAATTTTTTTTTAATTGGGGGTGGGGGTTTTAAGGGAGAGGGGTTTAGCAAAAAGAAGGCCATTGAAATATTTTTCAAAATACGCAGAAGAAAAAAAGAAGGACGTTTGGAAGGAACTACAAACAATTGGACAGTTTTGAAAAGAACATGTTGAACTTAATAAATTTTTAAAAGAAAACAAGCATGACATTGAGAATCATGATTTCATTGACAGTCTTCTTATTGTGTCCTCTATACATGTGGAAATGTTCATTCTGGGGGTGTCTGTGTGCAGAATAAAAATCTTTTTTAAAAAAAATTAAATGATCAGTTCAAATAACAATTACCTTATCAAGAGCAATTTCCATGTTAGCAACTTTTTCTTTCAAGCGCCGCTCTTGGGATCTCAGGACCTCCAGCTCCCCTGCCATTTTGTTTTTTTCTGTTGCAACAACGTTCAATTCTTGACTTAGTTTATTTTTCTCTTCTTTTAAGAAACGCTTCTCCTATGATTATAGAGAAGAAAGTATCTCTGGGATAATCTGACTGCTATTACTAGATGATAGTAATTGATTAAATGAACCTAACTTTAAATTATTTTTATATTATTCAATTATTTATTAGTGAGACTGAGAGGAAGTAGACCATGTTACTATGGATTCATTCTTATTTTCTTCACTGCTAGCTAGCCCTATGACTGTTTCTCCTAGGCTATTTCCATAGAAGAGTTATTCTTGTAACTTTGTATTTACTTGTAAAAAAGAGCTTATGCCTCTCAGAACTGCAGACATCCATTATACCAAATTTTGCTGAAATCCAATCATTACTACAGAAGATACGGCCATTTGACATCTTTTGCCAATTGCCATTTTTCAAGATTTTACAAAACTCAACTGAAGGCATATCATTACCTCACTTTTACATAGCATATTTTATGAACATTTAAAGCTTCAGTTTAAGGTAATACAAGAAAATGTCAATACTTTGTAAAGCAAACACTTCCATGTGGTTTCTAATGTGATTTAATGTCTCGTTTTTATTGTTTCTCCTCCCGTTCCCTTGTGTCTCCCACTTCTGCACCCTGTCTGCTCCTACTGTTTTTTCAGCTTCTCATCCTCTTTATTGCACGGCGGCAAGGTACACACCTAAAGGACACACAGACGACATTTTCAAGTTTTTGTCACAGCAAAGTTATGGATCGTTACCGGGGTTGTTTGTGTTCATTCCTAAATCCGTTATCTTTTGCACACATGCCATTCTCTGCCCTCATGGACCCCCACCTGGGTCAGGAGCCGAAACAAAGGCGTCCCAGCTGGTCTCCCCACCTCCAACCTTTTCCCCTCTCCATCTGGCCTCCTCACAGCTGGTCCGGGACAGTCCTAATGCTCTGCTCCCCGCGCGTCCTTTGCTGTCTAGTGCCTTCAGTGGCTTCTCCATTCCTCCAGTAAAATTAAACTCCTCCGCTTGGGACCTCTGGCCTCGCTGATCTTCTCAGAACGAAGGGTCGTGCCCACCTCATAAGCTCACATTCCAGCCAAGCTCCCCCCCCCCGTTTCCTGTCCAAGCCCTTGCACTCGCCGTTCCCCAAGCCTGGAACGCTATTCCTCCTTAGTGCTGCCTCTTGGAGAAGAGAGGCTCACCCTTGGAGTTCAGGCCCTTAAGCAGTCAGTCATTAATTAGCCAATAAGCGTTTCTCAAGTTCCTACGGTGTGCCAGGCCCTGTGGCAATGCCGGGAACCAACGAGTCCACACAGAAGCTCATATGGAATCATTACAAGTAAATCCAAAGCAGTCAAATACCAGGGAGTGTGGGAGGGAGGCGCGGGCATTAGCAGCTGCGCGGACCAGCAAAGGCTTCCTGAGTGCAGAAGACAGGGGCCTGAGCTGCACCTGAAAAGAAGAGAGGGACTCTAGGAGGCCACGGGGAGGAGAGAGGCAGACAGCTGGCGAGGAGGCACAGAGATGCCAGTGGCTGGACTGTAACATGTGAAATGGGGTCAGACAGGATAAAGAGAGCTGGTGTGGGGCCTGCTTGTGAAGGGCCGAAAAGCTAAATAGGGGAGTTTATATTTGAGCCCAGAGGACTCGTTGGGTCCCCATTACAGTGTAAGCTCCTTCAGGGCAATGCCCTGCATTCTGGCTTCTGCACTGCTCCCCTGAGCCTGCTATACAACAGCTTAAAAAATGCTTGGTGTGGAGAGAGCACCTGCCCTGGAGTCAGGAGGACCTGTGTTCAAATCTGGCCTGACATTTGACACTTACTACCTGTGTGACCCTGGACAAGTCACTTAATCCTGACTGCCTCACCAAAAAAAAAAAATGCTTGGTGATTGACCTGGTGGTGCAGTGGATGGAGAGCTGGGCCTGGAGTCCAGAAGACCTGAGTTTAAATTCAACCTCATACACCTAATAGTTGTGTGACCCTGGGCAAGTCACTTAACTCCTGTTTGCTTCAGTTTTCCTCAACTGTAAAATGAGGATAATAGCAGCACCTACCTCCCAGGGGTGTTGTGAAGATCAAATGAGGTGATCATTGTAATTTGCCTGGCACACAGCAGGTGCTCTCTCAATGTTTATTCCCTCCTCCTGCTTATTCTCATTGATCAGGCCTTTGCTGATCTCCCCAGACTCCGGCGATTTGCCCTGCCCTCCTCCCCCCTCCCCCCAATTATCTTGTAGTCAGAAGCTATCAGTCACATTATATACACTTTGTATTTCTTCATTGATGTCCCTGGAGGGATCCTTAGTAAAATGTATGCTCTGTGAGGGAAGGGACTGTTTCATTTTTGTCTTTCAATTCCCAAAAAGTAATAATGTGCCTTACATAGAATGGGTGTTTAGTAAAAATTGCTGAACTGAGTTGAATTGAATTAGGTTAGACTCAGTTCCTAAAAGCAGTACCTATAACATGTCAACATTTACTAATACTATGATGAAATGAAGTAGCTCCATGCCTCTTCTTCTTAGGAACAAAAGCTCACTGAAAACAATAATTCCTTAAAAATTAGAATTGGCCAAGTGGAAGCTTAATGACCCTGGGATACATTAAGAATCAATAAAAACAAAGTCAAGATATTGGGAAAAAATGGAAGAAAATGGGAAATATCAGAAAAACAACTAATCTGAAAAATAGGTCAAGAAGAGATCATTCAAGAATTATTGAACCATCTAAAAGCCATGATCCAGAGAGAGAGAGAGAGAGACTGAGAGACACAGAGACAGAGAGAAAGAGAGAGCCTAGACATCATCTTTCAAGAAATTATCAAGGAAAACTGCCCTGATATCTTAGGACCAAAGGGTAAAATAGAAATTGAAATAAGCCACTGATCTCCTCCTGAAAGAGATCCCAAAATGAAAATTCCCAGGAATATTATAGCCAAATTCCAGAGTCCCAGGTCAAGGAGAGGATACTTCAAGTAGCCAGAAAGAAACCATTCAAATATCATGAGGCCACAGTCAGGATCACACCAGATTTAGTATCTTCCATGTTAAAGAAGAGGAAGGCTTGGAACATGATATTTTGAAAGGCAAAGGAGCTAGGATTACAACCAAGAATAATCTACCCAGCAAAATCAAGTGTAATATTTTGGGGTGGGGGGAGGTGGGGAGAAGGGGAATGGGGGTGGGGGGATGGACCTTTAATGAAATAGAGGACTTTCAAGCATTCCTCATGAAAACACCAGAGCTGAACAGAAAATCTGACATTTAAAAAAAGACTCAAGAGAAGTGAGAAATTAGGAGGAATTAAATAAGGTTAAGCTGTTTACATTCCCAAATGGGAAGATTGAGGGAGGTGATGGTCAGAAGCAAAACAGACTGCAGTGTTAAATGAATTACAGTGGGGTACCTCGATTTATCCCTCTCAGATAAATCTAACCATAAAGTAAATAAGAAATTAAGGAGATGAATAGGATTTTAGAAAAGTTAGATATGATAGACTTCTGTAGAAAACTGAATGAGAATAGAAAGGAATATACTCTTTCTCTGCTATGCATGGCACCTTCACAAAAACTGACCACGTATTACGGCATTAAAAACCTCACAAACAAGTGCAGGAAAACGAAATATTAAATGTGCCCTTTTCAGATCACAACACCAGAAAAATTGCATTCAGTAAAGGGTCTTAGAAACATAAATTAAAAATTAATTGTAAACTAAATAATCTAATCCTAAGGAATGGGTGGGTCAAAGAACAAATCATAGAAACCATCAATAATTTCATCAAAGGTAAAGATAACAATGAGACAACATTCCCAAATTTGTGGGCACTTAGGGGAACATTCAACTCTAAATGCAGGCTAGCTCTTCCTGCTTTTGTCCCTAATAAAACAGGTGCCTCGTCACTACAAACTGAGCTTTTTTTCTGAATTGAGATCAGAAAATACTTATAATTACGTGGTTCTAACACACAAGTGTTCATTTCTAGAATACGAAAAGGACTGTCTTTTTCCCCGTTGTCAGGAAATCCCCAGGGCGCCTCTATTTCTACTTCAAGGTCCTGCTTCACCTTTGACGCATTTGTCATCGCTTCCTCCAAGAACTGAATCTTGCTCTGCAGGGCATCTATTTGTCCTCTTTTGGCAGTAATTTGCTTCTGCATTCCCATTGCAACTTTCATGGCTGTAAAAAGCAAGTGCCAATTGCTTAATTATTTATGAACATGCTAGCTAGGCAACCATGTTTTCTTTAAAGCTACTCTAAATTGCAAACTAAACTAAACTTATAAAGTAAGGAGACAATGTAAAGTCCACAAGGGTATGGATTCTGGAGTGCCTCAATGAGGTCCCCGTGGTTGTGGGGGGAGGGGTGGCAGGAAGGAAAGAAAGCAAGGGAACAAACACTCATTAAGCACCTACTATGTGCCCGGTACATGCTAAGTGCTTTACAAATATTATCTCATTTGCAACAACCTTGCAGCAGCCCGAGGAGGTAGGTACTATTATTCTTTCTACTTTACAGATGAGGAAACTGAGGCAAGCAGAGGTGAAATGATTTGCCCACAGTCACAGTAAGCTAGTAAGTGTCTGAGGCTGGATTTGAATTCACATCTTCCTGACTTCTGGTCCAGAACCACATAGCTGCCTCTAGGAAGGCATGGTTTCCCAATGGCTATGGATAGGGGAAATCCAATAACCATTCTTTGCTTTTACCAAAAAAAAAAAAAAGAATTTCTTTGGTCTGGTGGAACATAATTATCTTGTAAACTGTATAATGATTTAAACTTTTTATGTCCATTTTCTGAATAAAATTGGATGAAGAACAATAACCAGATTCAGTTATGGACATACACATATCTGTAAAGGAACTTAGATAAAAGGGATAACTTATGATTATTCGTCAAAATGATTTTCCTGGATCAGAGTGATACTACTACATAAGAAATCTATGACAATGCTCTGTCTATGCCGTCGGGCTCTGATGACGTCATGAACCATCCAATTTTCACTCTCCTGGTTACATGACAATGTGATTGGAACTCCCTGTAGTGAGTACACGAGAGCACAACGGAGATCAGTCACTAGTGGAACTCTGCGTGTGGCTATTACAGTGTGAAATGAAGAGTGGGCCTGGCTGTTCATCAGAATGGGGCTGAACCTTCTCATACCCTCGGGCCTCGAGGACATGGACAGGGTAGGACCTTTCCAGGACCTAACTGAAAAGATCACTCAGACAGCTTAGTTTTGGAAGCATCATTATACATATCAAGTAACCAAACCAATACGTTAACCAAAGAAAAGGCTTTTAAAGTGGCACTTTTTGCTTAGAAGAAGACTTAGGTACAATCTAACTGAGAGCTAAGAAACAAACAAGGAAAATATATGATCCTTTGAAAACAAAAGAAAGGTCCTGGCTTGTGGTTCTTCAAATACCATGTGCTCGGTTAAATAAGGCATTCAATAAATGTGGGACGCCTCAGTTAGTTGGTCAAAGCCTTCAACATGGCACCTATGGGCTGCGTGGTTCTGTTCAACAGATGGCATGTGGATGGTATGTGACTTTCAGTGGGAATTTCATTAATGACCTCTTGATTTATATAATTACCAGAAATTAGTGAGAAATAGAAAACTTATACTTGATTTAGCCAGGTATAATTTGCCCATCATGTGTACTTTTTAAACGTACAGGTCATAATGTGGTTATGTAGACCAAAAGATAACTCTCCAGGCCAGTCCATTAACTTGGACAGATAGGGCTGAATTGGGGTGAGGAATAGGTAGGGCTGGAGAGACCTGCCCAGTGTGAAGGGGCCCTCATGTTCACCACCCTAGCCTGCTTGCTCCTCTAGGTTTCCGTTCTTTATACTTCTATCCCCTGTGCCTAGCATTTAATAAATACATGACTTAGGGGTTTGGCCAGCAGCTCTACATCTAGGACTTGGGTTCTACCACTTGTGGCCCCAGCTCCTCAACTTGCATGGAGCTCACAGTGGGAACAAGCCACACACGGGTAATCTGAAAGGTACTGTACATTCTTTTTAGTATGTTATATTCCTTGAATAGTTCTTTTCTATATAAAGAAGTGGGATCTGGGGACATCAGAGGTAGCCAGAAATGACTGCCATGGTCGTGATAACGATAACAACAGCTGACATTTGTATGGTAACCTCAAGGTTTACAAAGCCCTTTAAATGTCATAGAACAACTCCATAACCTATCAGGTGGGTTACAGATGAGGCAGCTGAGGCTCAGACATGCCCAAGGTTCCAAGAGCCATGAGCACTGCCATATTCAGACTCATGCCTCTTGACTCTGGGCCCAGTGTTCCGGGTGCAGGTTTTGTTTCATTTACAATACCGTGGGAAGGAAGGTGTCCCCACTTTAGGAGTGACTGCTCCCTGCTCGGAAGGAGGGGAAGCCCTGCCCTGTAAGGACCCCTACTCTTCACCTGTGGGCCCCCTCACGGGGCCTCACCAATTCCTATGTGTCTGAGTGCCTGGAAGCAATGGCGGGTAGGTGAGGTGTTTCTTATTTGCAAATCTAGACCAGCGGAATCAAACACAGAAGAGAGGAAAGAAAAGAATCCGTTGTCTATAGCATACCATGGCCATCAGATCCTTCCATTGTCTTTAAAGTATTTCTTGTCTGTTCCAGCTCGGCCTGTGCAGATTTCAATTGCATTTTCAGCTTGTTTGTGGTACATTCCATCTCTTCACTTTTGTTCCGATAATTTCTTTTTAAAACTTCGTAGTCCTCTGCACGATATAATACCAATTAAAGGAAGGTGGCCTATTCTGCCCCACTGTCATAAACGTAGCTTTATCACAGCTAATGAAAGAAGGCCTGTCATATGAACTTGCTTGCAGATTAGCGATTAAAGGATATTATTTTTTGTAACTAACAACTAGGAACAAAAGATAGCAAACAAGTCTCAGGTTGTTAAAGCTGACTGAACTTGAATTTGGCACATAAGGTTCCATCACTTTGGGCAAACCCAGTGAAGCTGTCAGTTCCATGCTCTCAGACACAACGTGCTTCTGGAGGTCCTCTCTTAAGGTAGGGATCACCAGAAGGCAAGGGAAAAAAAACCTAGTAAACCAATATCTAGCCTGTCTGGTAAGACACTGATTGGCAAAAATCAGTCCATGAGCGAGAAGAAGGGAAGTCTAGGACTCACTAGGAGGTGTCAAATGAGGGACGAGTGGAAGACGGAGTGAAAAGGAGCGAACGGATGAAAACCTGGATTTACGCAGCACACACATAAGTTAGGGAGTGAGACTAGCAGCTGACAACAGGTTTCCTGGCTTTATAAAGAGGACCCATCAGAAGAAGATGGCTTGAAACTGCAGGTTCCCTACATATGACTTCATTTACATGTACTTTTTAAGAAACACAAGGGATATCTACATTATGTTAATCGTGGACTGTGTTATTTTTCTTCTCCCAATTAAGGATCCTAGGGCTTTCCTTCCAAGAAATTTCCAAGAGACTTGTTCACATCTGGTGCCTCATTATTTAATAAACCCTAATGAAATGGTAGGAGTGGTTGGGCACGAGGGCTTTTTCCTCATGCCTGTTAATCAAGTGCTGAATTTTATGGCTGAAGCCACTAAATGAAGTCAGAATGAGGTGAGTACAAGACAGGTATGCGTGTGGAACATGCCAGGTTGGTGTCATAAATTTGGGCTGACACATCAGGGGAAATGACCCACGGAAATGACCCTATCAGAAAGGCTTTGGGACTGGCCTGGATGTCACTGGCTTTGTCTGCCCTGCTCCTGGGGCCCTGGGTAGGCGTTGGGAGATAGGGGGAGTGACTTTGATTGAGGCTGGGCCGGGCAGGCCGGCGGGCTCTAGGGTCCTACCTGAAAGACTGCAGAGCTCATTCCGACTGTTTTTCACCTCAGCGAGGAGCTGGTCTCTCTCCTGCTTCATGTCCTTCACTACACGGAGCCGTTCAGATCCAGCATTCACCAGTTTCACTTTTTCAAGTTCCAAGTCACTTAGCCGAGCTTCGAGCTCACGGATTTTTGAATCTTTCTTGTCTTTTATGATCTGATTGCATAAATCAAGACAAAGGATTCAGAAACACGCCCACACATAATGCATACTTGTATTTATCATAACCTTGTTTTTGAGTCATTTCAGTCATGACCGAGTCTTTGTGACCCCATTTGGGGTTTTTCTTGGCAGAGACACTGGAGTGGTTTGCCATTTCCTTCTCCAGCTCATCTTACAGATGAGGAAACTGAGGCAAACAGGGTGAAGTGACTTGCCCATGGTCACACAGCTAGTACGTGTCTGAGGCTAGATTTGAACTCAGTTCCTCCTGACTCCAAGGCCAGCATCCTATCTACTGCGCCATCAAAGCTGCCTTATTTAACCTTATTTAAAGCATTAATAGAATGGATAAAATTACAAGAAAAGGAAGCCCTTGTTAAAAACTTTTACAATAAATAAATAAATAAATGAATGAATGAATGGATGAATAAATAAATAAATAAATAAATGAATAAATAAAGTGACATAAAATAAAATAAAAAAAATCCTTAGCAAACTGCTGCAGGGGATATGTATCAACTCAGAACCAGTCTTGCCCCTTCTAGCTACTTCAGTAGAAAAGCAGCAGATGGAAGATGGCGTGAACAGTGAGAAGACAAGGGCCCAGGAGTCAGAGAACTTCGCTCCAAATCCCGCCGATGACGCTCAGATTCCCTGCACCTCTGTTTGCTCACTGGCCCCCACATAATGGTTCTATGAATTTGAAAACTACGGCCTTATCTTGGGAGCTGCAAGCTAGACCTCTCTGAGAACAAGTAGTGGAGTTCTCCCTCAGTCATCCCTTCCCCATCACAACTTTCCCCATTGAGGTTTTGATACATCCCAGGTCAGCATAAGAAATTAAATGGGAATTTAATTGGGGGAGTTTTCTGGAAGCTGTAGACAACACACAAAAGCCAGCAGACAACACAGAAAAAGTTTAGAAACTCAGAAATGCAGAATTGTTATAAAAAAGGCATTCCAGTAGACTCTAGCATCATACAAGAAAAGGCTAGGTCCTTAAATAATTTCCTAAAGGAAAATGAAGGTGAAGGGTTTAACTCTATGGACTTTACACAAATTTTCCAGATCACAGGGGCACCACATCCCTAAACCCCATGAAATGGAAGGGATAACTGCAGATGCCCAGAACTAGACTAACTCCTCACGGTCTCTCTGGTCCTCATTCCCGATTTCTGCGGGAAGAACTGCCCTTTTCCCAGTCACCCATGCTCAAGAGCTCCGAGTCCTCTCTGGCTTCCAGTACCTTGCCCTGCCCTCCCTCCTTGGATCCAACTGGTTCTCAAATCCTAGTCTTCCTATCCCAGGATTCGTGTGCCCGGCTGCTTCCTTCCATGCCCACTGCTATCATCACCCCATCTCAGGCCCATATCACTTCCCACTAGAACAGCTGTCTCCTAAGGTTGTCTCCCTGCTGCTCCATCCTGCTGCCAGATTGAATTTTTATGAAACTTTATAAATATGAAACTTCATCAGGCCACACCCTGCCTGAGAACTTCTAATAGTACTCTACAGTTAAAGGCAGGGGCTCTTCACCATTTTTGTGGGTCCTGGCACCTTTGGCAGTCTGGTGAAAGCTACAGACCGCCTCTCAGAATCATTCTTGAATGCATAAAATAAAATACACAGAGTTATCAAAGAAACCATTTAGGCTGAAATACAGTTATCAAAAAAAAATTGTTTTTGTGTTCACGGGCCCCATGTCTACACGGTCAGCCACACTGGTGCATTATACTAACCCAGTTGTCTTACTTTAATGCTTCCACTATGCAAAACTGGACTGTTCCATCTTAATAGGACAGAATAAAGAGGTTTTCAGAAGCTCAGCCCCTGAAGACCTGAAGTCATGTACCTTGAATTCCTGCAGTTCCAGCTTCCGGTCATTGATCTCTTTCTCGAGCTGAGTTTTCTCCACTTGCATGGCCCCGGCCGTACGCCCATGCTGGCCAACCAGCTGAGTCATGTTCTCGATCTGCTGACGCAAGATCTCGATCACCTTGTCCTTCTCCACCATCTGCACCTTGAGGGCCTCACACTCCGACTGCACGTTCCGGAGGTGGTCCCCTTCATTTTTTAGGTGCTGGAGCTCTTGTAGCTTTAAGTCGACCCTCGAACGCAACTTGGTGATCTCCGTGTTGGTGGCCTCAATGGCTCGCTCTTTCTCTTGCAGAGACAGCGTTAGGTCAGACACAGTCCTCTCAGAGCCTTCCAGCATCATCTTCTTGGCGGTCAGCTCCTCCACGACTTTGCGGAGCATCTCTTTGGTGGATTCCAGCTGAGCAGTCAAGGCAGACACTTTCTCTAAGCTTTCATTCTTTCCCTGAATTGCTGCCATCTGAGGGTTGACAGAAAAGAGAGCTTCATGGATTTGTAAGAATGACAAGGAGAGGCAGGCAACATGGTAAAGGTGTACACACCACTGACTCTATGTGAGTAAACTAATGAACTCACTAAGGATGAAACCCTCAAACCAATTGGCTCTGAAGGCTTAGCTCCAATGGAAGAAGAAAGAAGTCTGGCATCTGCTCATTTAAAGCCGTCTGACAAGATGTCAGCAAGAGGGCTGGAGAGGGCTTAACAAAGTCATCAGGGTCTAATGTGCTGCTGTTCCAGGGTGGAAGGCCAGGAAGGTTCTTTTCCTCTGAAGAAGTTGTAGAGGCCAAGTGGAACTTCAGGCAGAATTCTAGAATGTATTCTTAAGGAAGTGTGGAGTGAACTTCTACAAAAAGAAGCCCACCTAGCCTCCCATCAAGAGCAGGTCTTATAGCCCCATTTCCTTTTGTTATTGGGCTACCAGTCTCAGAGATCAGAGGAATGGGGTAGATAGCATTTATCTGGAGTTTGGCAAACTATTCCACTTAGTGTCTCATGCTATTACTGTGGAAAAAACAGAAATGCGTGAGCCCCAAGGCAGGACAGTTAGATTGAATGGCCCGAGCCAAGGAGCACCCTTTTATTAGCGCCATGTCGACCCAGAAGGAGATCTCCAGGGTCACGCCCCAGGTAGCTGCGCTGCGACAAAAGCAGAGATGGAATGCTTACCAAATCTGCAGATAACAAACTTTTAAGAAGAACAGCTAATACAGTGGATGATAAAGTCAGGGTACAATAGGATTTCAATAGGCTAGAACCCTAGGCCAAATCTAATAACAGAATTTAATAGAGAGAAATTTCACCTTCTGATTCAGAAAATCAGCATCACAAGTACGAATATGGGAAATGTGGCTAGATGGAGGTTCATGAGAAAAAAAAAGATCTAACAAAAATTAGATCCATGAGACTGCAAGTTCAATAGCATAAACATGGCCACTAGTTTTTTTTTTTCAATTGCATTAGGAGAGGCATCCATCATAGCCAGTCTGGGGACCTGGAAGGTCTGTAGCCCTGGTGCACTCTGCCTTGCTCAGGACCATTTCTGGACTCCTGTGCTCAGTGGTGGCTGCCACACTGAAGATCTAGAGAATGTCCGGAGGAGGATGACCAGGTCACAGCATCTGGCACTGATATTTGTGTGAGCTCAGAATAAGTTGGGTGGTGAGTGTTAGCACGGCCTTGGCAATAAAGAGCACAACCCCAAGCTTCCCCAAAAGGCAAAGGTCTGCTGGCCATCGGGGCCCCCATTGCAATAATTATGAGTCAATTAATAAAAGGCCAGAGAGGTGAGCCCACATGCTCCGCCCCCCTGGGCAAGTTGGAGGGGTTCCCTGACAGCCCATGGAGGTGGAGGCTGTAGGTAATTAGGCAGAAGGAGGGATTTTAGCCTTTTAACGGGGTTCACCCATCACAGGGATCTTGGACAAGAGTGTACCTTGGTTCAAACCATGACCAGGTGGGCATGAACCAACACAGCACATAATAAGAAGGCTTTGAAGGCAACAGCATGGGAAGATATGAAGAAGGGCTCTACGGAGAGAGAGCAACTCAACATCTACACAAGGCTTAACACTTTCATTCCAGTGGTCTCTCCCTAAAGAATGATGCACTCCTTGAAGCTGTGTGACCCTGGGCAAGTCACTTAACCCCGAATCCCTCACCAAAAAGCAAAAAAAAAGAAAAAAAAGAAAAAGATGCATACCAATCAGAAAACAAAAAGAAAGCCTCTTACACCAATCAAGATGTAAATGGGTCCGTGGAATATCTAAGACAATATGGGAAGGTGACAGCAGCAGAGAGCCTGTAAATGAGAGGAAAAAAATAGCAAACAGCTCTCAAAAAAAGATAGTTGCCAAGAAGGAAGGAGGTTGGAAAGATGAAAAATAAAGGAACCTGCATGAGTTTGTTATCACTGCAGAAAGCAAGGTCATGGACTGCCCCTCTGTGCTTGAGAGTCAAGATATGGGCACTGGGATCAGTTACTGATGTGGGTCCATTGAACATGAAATAACCAAATGCAAAGTCGAAGTAGACCAGCTATGGGAGAGTTTCCTCATTTGTGGAAAGTAGGACACCTTGTCCTGATCTTGTCCTGATAATCCTAAAGGACTTTATGCTGAAGGTGGTGGTTGCAGATTTGGTGGTTCTGTGGAACATTTGAAGAAAGATTGCCCTAAAAATCAGAATTCAGATAACATGGTCACAGTGGGTCATTGGACTGAGGGGATGGGTGCAGATTTTGGAGATTCCCATACGTAATCAAAAGGATTACTTACTGCGCAGTTTCAATTTAGGTTCGGATCTCAAGATATAATGACACGTACTCAGTGTAAACTTAACAAATAATCACATTTATTTTACAATGATTAACGATTGAAACAAAACACACACATAAAGATGAGGGAAAAAACATTCAATATAAGTAATAATTAAAGTAAAGAAAAGGGGGAATAAGAAAAGAAAGGATACACACTCACTGACCAGGCAAGCTCAGATACCTAACAGAGTGGAGAGACTGAAGAATGGCCAAGAGGTCTTGGTCAGGGAGGCAATGGGGCGATGTCCCGCTCCAACTCAACAGAAGCTGTGCACGCGTTCTGCTTCTGACCAACAGAGAGGCAGCGTCCTTATCTCTGACATCAAAGTACTCTAAAGATCCCCTTCCAAATGACCCCTTTATATCTGTGTAAACCAGGGAAAAGCAGTCTTGATATTTTGTTTTGTGCACATCTCCCTGGTGAGCACACATTCTAACAAAGGTTGGAGCTCGATCAACGCTCCAAATACCTGTTTGTTGTGTACATCTCCACGGAGTGATCAATTGCTTGGACAATTACATGCTTTTCTCAAGAAAAATGTTGCTTGAGATAAATTGGCTTCCCGGGTAACATAGTTTGTTACTTAATGTTCCAGTCTCCTTGATCCCACGCACATACTATGGTGGACACTCCTGAACATGAGTATAATGCCCATGCTGATCAACTAGCAAAAATAGCCAGCCTTCAAAATAACCAAGAGAGTCAAGAAGAAAATTCTCTAGCACGATGGGTACATTGACAAGCAGGACATCTAGGACCACAATCCTTATACAGGCGGGCAATAGAAAGGGGGTATCCCTCCCTCTCTCTCTTTTAAAGCAAGTTCAATCTGAAAGTATTATATGTCAACCTGAAAAGGAGAGGTTGATTCCCCGCACCGTTAAAGGTGAAAGAGCCGTGGTCAATGACCTGCTCAAATTTGGCAAATAGATTATGTGGGTCCTTTACCGATAGACAGAGGATGCCGTTATATTTGTAGATGTGTAGATACATATTCTGGAGTTTTGGTGGCATGTCCATATAAAAATGCAACTCAGAAAAATACCATACGGACTTTAGTTATCATTAATTATATTATGGCACCCCTACCCAAATTCAAAGTGATAATGGAACCCATTTTAAAGGAAAAGAAATACATTCCTATTGTACTTATCATAATATCGAATGGATATATCACATCCCTCATTAACCTCAAGCTGCTGGATTGATAGAATGAATGAATGGATTATTGAAGGAAAAACTCCAATACTTGGGGAATAATTCATATCAACATTGGAAGGATAATTTGTTTGAAGCATTGAACCAATTAAATAATAGACCACTAAAAGAAGGATTAACTCCTCTAAATAGAATGATGACACCTAATTTACAAATTAGGGCCCAGAAGCCAATAGGCATTACTTTAAAGAGGTGGATTATAAATCCACGTTCTCATGCACCATTCCGTGAAACTGAAGGCTCCTGCAGGATATGACTTACATACTCCAATACCCTTAGATTTGCCTGTAGGCAAAATAGTTACAGTTGCTACAGGAATTGGTATACAAATCCCTTCCGGATATTTTGGCCATATTTTACCTCGTTCTAGTTTAGCATTAAAAGGTATACATATTCTTGGAGGAGTGATTGACTCTGCTTATGTTGGAGAAATTAACATCATTATGCAAAATTTGGGGCATGTTCTTTGGATTCAAGAATTGTTCAAATATTTGTTATAAGCACCTTGCAGGAAATTCTGAACAACTATCCGAACCACCTCCTATTACTACTGACTTGGTGGATTTGGAAGTACTTGTTTGGTGAAAGGAGCTAAAATATGGGCTAAAAGACACCCTGCTGACATCCCCAAAGCTGCAGAAGTGATTACTGAAGGGGATAATAATGCAGTCACAGTGGCTTTCCCAGGAGATGATAAAATGCATCATTTTCCATTAACCCAATTGTTTTTATGTGAATGGTGCTTTACAGAAACAATATTATTCTTTGTGACATCAATCCCTGGACAATGGAAACGGAATTCACTGGTATAATTGGGACAAGCAGTGGCAGACACGGGACATAGGACTGCTGGGTCTGCCAAATTCACCCTCAAATGCGAGGTGGACCTCCACAATGTAGAGGAGTAAAGGACCAGCCTGAAATGCCCCAATCGTACCTTTCTACCCAATATGCAACAACCCTTATTGCAAGTGTAACCTGAACGAGAGACTTTTAAAAACGTACCTTGTTTTGACACTAGACAATAATTATTTCCCTCTTTATCTATTTGGGATCAATTGAAACAACATTTGTATCCTTTTTCCACTTATTAGTAATACTCTTATTATTGATTTTTGGACCTTGTATTTTACAATGTTTAGTTTCTTTTGTTTCTGCGTGACTACATTTATTTTTCTTTCTATAAATGAGCTCATGGTTTCCCCTGTAATGGATGATAAGTGAACTTTCTCCACTGTCAGGGTGATAAATTTTCTTGACTCCCTTCTTCTTAGGGGATGATGTGTGATGTTTGTTGTTTGTATTAGAGTAAAGATTATAAGTTTTGGGTTTTTTTTCCTGTATGGTTTCTGACCAGGGTTTGGGTCGGATCTAGAAGCCGAGTGTAAGGGAAACTGAGGAGGATAGATCCTCCCCAGTCCCCTGTGTAACCATCTTATGACCTGACATAAAGATAAACTGGAGTTACTAAAGCATGGCCGGGATCAAGGAGACTGGAACATTAAGTAACAAACTATGTTACCCGGGAAACCAATTTATCTCAAGGAACATTTTTCTTGAGAAAAGCATGTAATTGTCCAAGCAATTGATCACTCCGTGGAGATGTACACAACAAACAGGTATTTGGAGCGTTGATCGAGCTCCAACCTTTGTTAGAATGTGTGCTCACCAGGGAGATGTGCACAAAACAAAATATCAAGACTGCTTTTCCCTGGTTTACACAGATATAAAGGGGTCATTTGGAAGGGGATCTTTAGAGTACTTTGATGTCAGAGATAAGGACGCTGCCTCTCTGTTGGTCAGAAGCAGAACACGTGCACAGCTTCTGTTGAGTTGGAGCGGGACATCGCCCCATTGCCTCCCTGACCAAGACCTCTTGGCCATTCTTCAGTCTCTCCACTCTGTTAGGTATCTGAGCTTGCCTGGTCAGTGAGTGTGTATCCTTTCTTTTCTTATTCCCCCTTTTCTTTATTTATTATTACTTATTATATTGAATGGTTTTTTCCCTCATCTTTATGTGTGTGTTTTGCTTTAATCGTTAATCATTGTAAAATAAATGTGATTATTTGTTAAGTTTACACTGAGTACGTGTCATTATATCTTGAGATACGAACCTAAATTGAAACTGCACAGTAAGTAATCCTTTCGATTACACCATATCATAAAAACCAAAAGATTAGTAGCCAAGGTTGTTAACTTTTGATAGCGGATAGATGCCACCTTACAGTGCTATAGTTTGAGAACAGCCTGAATGTGTCCAAATTCCTTTTCTGGAGTTCTGTGCACTGAAGAGGAGTAATACCAGCATGAAACACTCAAAAACAAGCATTTGATGCTTAAATTGGACTTCTGGGGGAAACCCTAGTCCTTAACAAAACAGTCCCTGCAAAGCCTGAATGATACCAATCAATAAGAATCTTGCTTTCTCAAAAATAATGAAATAATTTGAACGGTCAAAAAAACAGGACCTTCTTCATATAGAGGTGAACTTTTTATACTTTTATAAAACTTATTCTTTATGCAACTTTTTTCAGGACAATGGTATTTTAAGAGTTCAAATTTTTCTAGTATCCTAAAATTTATTCTGCTTTTGAATATTTAATAACAATGACTTTACCTAAAAAAATAAAAAAGACAAGGCCCTGAGCTCTTTTCAGAGAGGATCCAGAGCTCTCATATAGACACGCATGATTCGTGTCGATCTGTGAGTTAGAAGTACTGCCAGGAAGCCCCCAAAGAGCAGTGGGGCTGTCCCCTCCTCTCCCGGAGAATCGACGCCTCACCTGGCGCTCCATCTGCCCTTGGCACTCGGTCTTCATGGTTTTCACCAGTGTTTCCAGACGCTGCACCTCCATGTTCCTGTCATCCAGCTCGCGGCGCAGGTGGTCGATGGTGATGCTGTTGCCAGTGTCTCGGTCCCAAAGCCGCTTGTTCTGTTCCTTCTCCAGACCTAGCTCCTTTTCCCTCTTATGTAAATCGCCTACAAGAAGGGAGGGAGGTCTTCCTGGAGCTCACAGACCACATTACACAAAGTTACACTTCTATTTCTCTCTGATGAGCCAATGCCACCCCACAGAAGTTTTTATCAGTTTCAGAAAAACCTTTGCACTGGCTCATTTGTCATGCCAGTGATCTGAGTATCTGATTTGTTACCAACTGTCTGGAAAAGCGTTTGAAAATTAAAAAAAAAAAAGTTCCCCCAAAATGAGACTAGCACATTGTTTTGGGTTTTTTTAAGGGACAAAGAATTAATATACAGCCACGAGGCTGACGTGGCAATATCATATTCTTAGGTCATGTTAACTTGAGTGCAAAATCCTACTTTCTAACCACAGAAGACCTTTTGGGAGCCTGGCCATTTTGTATCTTACTAGGAACTAAAAAGCAAAGATCGTATTTAACTTGGTAATTACTATGGACATTTCTACATAGATTCTCCCCCAGAACTGTAAAAAAGGATCACTAGCCTAAGGCATGCTGATTGTCACTGTGTTTGTCTGGGTTCTTGAAGAGGACCATGACATCAGGGAGATGACGTGACTTGCTCACCAGGCCTATGTAACCCAAGGCAGCGTAGGGGTGGGACTGCAGCAGGACTCTAAACACAGAAGGGCCATCAGTCTGTTCCTTTCTATGGGCTCCAGCTTCATCACACTTCCCATCCATGTCCCCCTGGGGTCTGGGTGGGTATCACTGTTATGCCTCCATCACCCCCGCTGCCCGTGGGGTGTGTTGGAGCCGCCAAGAGGGACCGGCTGCCTTCATGCAGCTTACAACGCCGCCAAAGGCAAGCAGAGGTGAGCCACCAGTGTGAGGGAGTGTTGCTTATTTTATATTTATGCCAACATTTTATTCAGCATCAAGTACATAGCTGGCCTATTTGTTTGACTTTGTATCGAACACTGGTTTTCGCCCCAATATATCATTTAGCAGTTTGAAAGACTTTCTTTCCTATTCCTAAACCCAAACAATGCCAACTATAAAATGTGAGGATAGCAGATAGGTAGAATTTGAAAAATTTTATTTACATGTAATCCGAATCACTACCTAGAAAAAGTCTGTTTTCATATCAACAATCAAAGGGCAAAACACATTAAACATTTCATTTGGAATTTTTAAAGTGAAAATACAGTTTTGTAGGAAATTTCACTAATATTTGGGAAAAAAAATTCCTTCAACTCTCTTTTTGTAGTTCCTGTCTTAAGCACACAAGTCTTACCAGCAGCTTCTGAAGTTGGTCGTCCAGATTTCCAGATTCCTGACTGAACTGGTCACGCTCAGTGCGGGCCTCAGTCAGCTCTGAGTTGGCCAGAACTAACTGCTTCTCCAGATCTTCGATCTAAAGGGTAAGCACAAGAGGATTAAATTAAATTAATCAGAATTATAGTTAAAATTTCTGATGTCCTTGGGTTCTAAGTACATCAATGAAGTTTTTTTTTCTCAACAAGGAAATTGGACTAGATGATCCTTAAACTCTCAACTATAATTCTGCTTAATTACATGGAATTATTTTTGATAACTATTATATTGTCACATCTTAATTATCTGTGGTATTAGGCGACTGTGATAACATGGACAAATGAAATCTACAGCTTTCTTTTGGCTAGAGTATTTTTTTTCTCTGAGTTTTGGGTTTGTTTTTTTTTTTTAATGGAAGGCTGACCAATATCAGATTCATTTAGTTTTGGGTTTGTTTTTTTTTTTCCATTCTCTGGCCTTTGCAGCATTTTCAGTAGTATATAGTTGTACTATAGCCTCAATGACTAATAGAAAAAAAATAGTCATTAATAGTTTGTCCTTTGAATAAGATGAAAAAGCTAAAGCCAAGTATTCATTAATCTCCTTGTAAAGTTTTCCTTTGGGCTTAGCCATACACCTTATAATTGTAGGCACACAACTTAAATGACAAACAAGTCCCCTGAAGCACCAGATGTCCAGGAGAGAACACCCAAGTCCTAATCCTAGCAGCTCTATAATAGGGATCAAGATGAAAAGTGACAGTCCATGCTCTGGCCAAGATCCAAGCCACAGCCAGATCTGAAAAGAGCTGTGCATTTTCAGCATTGGCTACAAAGACCACTAGAGATGGCCAAAAATAGTCATCGACTGTCAATAATATATAGGCTCTGGACGGCCAATCTATTGTTGAAGATCTCTAGGAAATATATTTTAGCAAACGAAATGAACAATAATAATAATAATAATAATAATAATAATAATAATGAGTCAGCCTCTTCCTAGATCATAGTTTGAGCTAACCTCAGGGAAGTCTGGAATTCTTCACCAGTCCTGAAAGGACTGAGGCTCACTGCATCACAAGTGCTCATGCTTACACATAGTATGTACTTTCTGATATGTGGATTTATTTACCACTCTTCGGTGAAACTGACCAACGCTGAAAAACACTTTGACAGTGTTGTGTATGGCTCAAATTTGAGTTAATAAATAACATATCTGGCTTTCATTTTTGTATTTTTTTATCTGAAACGGTTACCTTAAAATGCATTTGAATAATATTTTGCTTAGAAAAGTTATTTTGTTTTAGAATAATATATTTGGATTAATATCAGGTCAATAAATAGCAAAAGATTAAACAATGTTGTCTTCAGCTATAGTGCTATTTGAATTTATCTAAAAGTAATGATTTTCCCCCTTTGCCTTCTTTTAAGGCTTATCTTTTCTGACAGCTATTTTTTTTTAAGTCCACCTAATGGTCTCAGTCTGTATAGCCAGCTTTAGGCCAGATCTACAGAACCCAAAGAGGCTGAGGAAGAATTCAGGTGATAAATTATGTGGACTGCCATCTGTATTCAAGTCTAAACTCTTTTCTTCCATTTCCAAATGCAATGGTAAGTCATATTGCACACTCATTATGGATATAACTTTCCCTCTGGTTTGAGTGACTCATGTCAATAGACCTTTCTTTCACATCAAGGATTTTTATAATGAATAAGGTTAAAAAAATGTTTACTTTGTGAGAAAACATTAAACTGGCAAGCATCAGAGATTTAGTGCACAATACATCCCTTGATGTTGTTTGTCCTTCGTTCTTGAAGAGGACTGTGACATCAGGAAGATGATGCCACGACTTAACAAGTGATTTGGATTTAAGTGAGGCAGGGCTGTGCAAAGTTGCCAGCCTCACTGTCTCCTCCAGAGCCATCTGGGTCCAGTGGCCAGATATGGATCAGGACGACAGGAGACGGCCCCCAATATGTCCCTATGGATTATAAAAACCAAATAATCTAATCTTCTATTTGTGTTATATAAGATATGAGGATAAAATCAGTGTACCAGAGAATGGAAGAAAAAGATTTTCTGTATAATCTAACCTATGGTATTAACAATTTTGTTTATTATTAGATATTATTAGCTATATCTGTATTTAGTACTTCTGGGAATAGAGAATTATACCTTTGTAAGTGTCCACATTTTCCTAGTTATTATGCTAATTAGTCAATAGGCTTTCACATAAACTTATTGACCGATTTGGACAAAGCCTTGATCTGTCTGAATGCTGATTTTCATATGATTTGCTATGACTGTCAGTTTACACAACTATCAGCAGCCACTTTTCAGTGATTTCTCTTTGTATTTAGTGTGTTGGGATCAGGGAAGCAATAACATTCTTTGTTCCCAATGATCAATTCTTCATTTCTGTGTTTAGCTGTACATATGATGATAATGGAATTCATCATAGAACTTGCTTTTGAAACCTGCATTTTCAGTAGGATATAGTTGTACTGTAGCTTCTGATTATGATGTAGTAAATATGCAAAATGGGGCAACAGGCCTGGAATCAGGAAGACTTACTTCAGGAGTTCAAATCTGGCCTCAGACAGTTAACTAGCTATATGACACCGGGCAAATCACTTAACCCTGTCTGCCTCAGTTTCCTCATCTGTAAAATGGGCTGGAGAAGGAAACAGCAAACCACTCCAGTATCCTTGCCAAGAAAACCCCAACTGGGGTCAAAAAGAATCAGGCATAAGTGAAAATGACTGAACAATAACAAAAATATACAAAACCATTGTTCACCTGGTTGACCTCATTTATGGTTATTAACTTTATTTTTTTTTACATGAAGAAAAAAACCTAGAAGCAAGCATATGATGATTTTAAAACTTTGTTTAGCTTTTTCTTGGCCAGTGAAATTGTTCAGTACTAAAGGAAAATTTCTGATGTCCTTGGATTCTAAGAATATCAATAAAGATTTTTTTTCCAACAAAGAAATTGAACCCAGATGACCCTTAAAGTCTCTTTCAACTTTAATTCTGTTTAATTATGATGGAATTATTTTTGATAACTATTATATAGTCACATCTTAATTATCTGTGGTATTGGAGACTGTGATAACACAGACAAATGAAATCCACAGCTTTTTGCCAGAGTCTAATTTTTTCTCTGAGGTTTTGGGGTTTTTTTTATACACACTAATAAATATCAATTCATTTAGTTTTCTTTTCATTCTCTGGCCTCTGCAGCAATGTTAAAAATGGGGAAGGAAAAGGTAGGCAGTCAAAGGGTAAAAGGAATAGAAACAAGGCATAGGAATAATCCACAAAGTGAATGAACAGATAAGGAGTGATCCAAAATTGATTGTTAATGTCATGTTAATGCAAGTTAATATCCCCAGCTGGAAAAACAATGCACAAGATCATCAATGCAGAGTCTTCTTACGTTTCTATCAATATCTAATGATTTATTCACCTGTGTAGGATGTTCTGCTTCGTTAAAATCAATAATGTTTATTAGTACATGTGTTTAAATCTACACTCATGATTATGACTTCAAGAGTACTTAGAACAAAAGAATAAACAGCATTTAATTGAGCGGGCCATATTTTATTTCTAAGTACCTGAACTCAATTACATAGTGCCACATATTCGGGACAAAAAAATCTCTCCGATTAAAAAACTTGCTAGCACCTAGCACACTGAATCTGAGCTGTAACTGGCCAATGGTTGAGTCTTTGCCACAGGGTGCCAAAGTTAGAGGGTGCTGATAGTACTTGTCTTTCCGCAGGATAGAAATATGCTCAGCACAGCATGGAAAGTAATTAAAATCAGCAGCCACCAGAGGGCCACTAGGGTGACCTGCTCCTCCTCCTCTTCAACAATCCATCCATTGTCTTGATTACTGACAAGTGCTAGTGGAAAGTGTCCTACCAGGAAGCCTCTTCACCTGTTACAACTCTTTCAGTGAAGCCGGTGGAGGAGCGAACATCAGCTGAGCTAAATATGCCCAGATGCTGAATGAGAAGGGATTATTGAATGGCAGCACTCGTGATCTGCCACTCACCACTCACGACAGGAATTGAGCTGTCACCGGACAGCTGGCATCGACCAATCCCCTCATTTTACAATTACACTTATTTGTACATAAGGATGATCGGGGGCTGCGGATTGGCTTAGCTTTAAAATACAATGTTCTCTGTGTTTCACTGTATTTTTATTTTAAGTATTTCCCCATTATATTTGGCACTGGGAGTGCTGTGGGTCTGGCCATGTGCTCTGGCCATGTGCCTGACACCCCAACTTATAGAAGACTGGGACTGTTTCACATTTGAATTCCCACTAGCACAAAGCTTTTGCACACTGTGGGCACTTCACAAAAGATTGCTGAACTTAAATTATCTGAATGGAATGTATATGTGTATGTGTACACACGCCTAACTAGGACAGAAGCGTTAAACAAAACGTCACTAATGCCCAGGGCTGCAGCACTGGATTACTCCAAAAGGATAATGGCCTACGGGGTGACTTATTGTCGCACCTACTAAATACATGGAAATTCTGCCTAGTTACATGGCCCTGTGGAAATAACCTATGCCCACGATAGTGAGAAAAGAAATTACGTGCTTGGGAAAACCTGACCACATCCCTGCGAAGCTGGCATTGGAAATTCTTGAAAGCGCATTAATCCTTTCAGCTCCCATTGTTACTTATTTTTAATAGAAAATCTAAACCTTGACAGCACGATATAGTGGTACATATATCCAGGGTTAGCTTGGGAGTCAGGAGGACCCGAGTGAATCTTATTCCTGTGTGAATGTTACCGCCTAATTTTAAAGGGATTTGCAAGCAATACTTTAAGTTAGCTGAGCAACTAGACCGATATTCCCCAGTCTGCATCCCATAGAGCTTCCCTGGAAATGTCATACATGAAGAAGTCTTAAAAGAGCCTAGGCCCTCAGGAATTATCTTCAGCTTATCATGAATTGTTGGAAATAAGACTAGGAACATGGTTTAAGTTAGAAAACTGTCACCAATTTCTTGACAAAATGCTACTTTCCAGAGGTTTTAGGGACAGTCTGTGTTCTTAAGTGGTAGCCTTCCA